ATATATATATATATATATATGGACATATTTTGCATATAATTATATATAATTTATATAATAATATATATAATTATATATAAATGCATATAATTATATGCATATAATTATATATAATTATATATAACTCACCTAAATTGACCGGCGTCCATATTGCGACCACAGCTGTTCAAATTGCTAAAGGTCCGGTCAATTTAGGTGAGTGTATCACCAATCAGAAATCGAGCCGCTGGTGTCGCTCCTCTGATATTCAGGACCCTCCAGTTGGCGGCGCTGCGCGTCAGAATTCAATTCGAGTGTACTCGTCGTCACGTGACTCGCCGACCGCCGCCGCGAACGCCGCGCAGTGGCGGGAGTGGCGAGACACTGTGCGCGACACAGTGCGTGCGTGCGTGCGCGTTCCGCTCGTGGTGGCAGCAGCAAAAATATGCAAAAGTATGAGAAGCTCGAGAAAATAGGAGAAGGTGAGCAATCTGCGGACTGAGAATTGCGGAGGGGACAGACGTCGTCCGGCGAGACGTGGTGTAATCACTATCATCGTCGCTGTGCCGACGTGGTCGCGGTCGCCCGCGTCGTCTGGCGACTCGCCGCCTCCCCAAAGTGTGCGTCGCGCCTCCTCTTACACCCGCGGTGTCACCGCTACCCCCCCTCCTCCTCCCCCTCCCCCGCTCTTTCTGTCAACACGATAGCACGGTCGTAAAATACGCGCAATACCGTACGCCGATTTTCTCCGACCCGCTTTCTTCTTATTTCCAGGCACTTATGGCACCGTGTTCAAAGCCAAGAATCGCGAGACACACGAAATCGTCGCGCTGAAGCGGGTGCGATTGGACGATGACGATGAAGTAGGTAGAGCGCTTATCTCCGATTGTCTTGTCTCTTTCTCTCTCAATTCTTTCTTCCTCCTCGCACGAACTACCCCCCCCCTACCTCCTCCTCCCCCCCCCCTCCCCGCACCTCGTCGCAGCGTTCCCACCTGCTGCTGTTTTGCCGCGACACCGGCGTTCCGATTAATCTAATTAATCGATCGCTCGCGCGCTTTATTTATAAACGCCGGCGCTCTTGCCTTATTGCCTTGTCGCGTCGAAAATAATCACCCCACGATGAAGGCCGGCGGCAGCCTCCCTTGATTATCAGCGCTCGTCTCTTATCGCTCGTGTGATCTTTTTTACGTTTAACCGAAGGGTGTACCGTCGTCAGCCCTACGGGAGATCTGTCTTCTGAAGGAGCTCAAGCATAAGAATATAGTTCGTCTCTATGACGTGCTGCACAGCGACAAGAAGCTCACCTTGGTGTTCGAGCACTGCGATCAGGATCTCAAGAAGTACTTCGACAGTCTGAATGGGGAAATTGACTTGGACGTCGTTAAATCATTCCTGTGAGACGCGCTTTTTTTTTCTCGAAAAAAGTTCGAATGTACCACCATTAAGGGCGAGATTGACGCAAATTTCATGTTCCCTTTTCAGATATCAATTGTTGAGGGGATTAGCATTCTGCCATAGCCGTAATGTTCTGCACAGGGACCTCAAACCGCAGAACTTACTCATCAACAAGGTAAAAGTGCAGAAATTTTTATACATACACTTACATACGTTCCTGCGGAGACATTTTTATATATTTTATACATTTAGATATTTTTCTGCCCATAAAATTTGATAATTTATATTTATCTCATATTTGCCCATTTGAATTATAAATAATTATTTGCAGAACGGGGAGCTGAAGCTCGCTGATTTTGGATTAGCAAGAGCATTCGGAATTCCTGTAAAATGTTACTCGGCGGAGGTTGTTACATTATGGTACCGTCCCCCGGATGTTCTTTTCGGAGCAAAATTATATACAACGTCCATTGACATGTGGAGCGCCGGATGCATATTCGCTGGTAATTGTCCCACGATATATATTTTTTTCCTTAAAAAGGATTTAAGTGTCAGTTGACGAAATTTTTTGTAACCAGTATAATGTACAAATATTTCAAAATCTATTTGATCAACAGTTAAATGAATTAGAGGCTAATGAGAGTTTTTTGCGCGGAAAGTGAGGCGCAGTCTTGAAATCTTGTACTAATCTTTATTCCACACTTCAAAATTCCAAGATTCCAAGACTATATGCGCCTCATTTACCGCGTGAAAAACTCTCATTAGCCTTTTGTTGCTATTTAATTGACAATTTCGAAAGTTTGTTAATATTGTTTGACTATTTCATTAAGTTAAATTAAAATTTTTTTTAATAATTTGATACGAGGCCGATATACACAATGAGAGGAAAAAAAACGGTCAAGGCTAGATGTTAGTTGCTTGGCATTCTTAATTTTTAAATCTTTTAAATTTCAGCTATCGTAAATACCGCGCACCGATCATTTTCGGTCTTTAAGAATGCATTCATAACTTAACGCGGTGCTGAACACAGGTCTGTTTTATCGTGATTAATCGTGATTATTTTTAAATCTTCCAATTTTTTTTATTGATTTCACAAAATTATAAATTTCCAGAATTAAAATATTGACAATAACGGAATGCGACTACATTTGGATACAAAAAAAGAATTAAAAATTATTGGTTTCTGCAGTCAACTCGTGACATGTGCTGCGTATAAAAGTTTTAAACTTCGTACATATGCAATAAATAGTCGCACTCGGAATTACACGAAAAAATAATACTCTGCTTTATTGATGAGCCTGGGTGCTTTAGCATAAGAAAACGGAAGACCCGAAAATATTATTGTATGTGTGCGTGCGGCATTGACATAGCAGTAAACATCAACACATCTGACATAAACGTCTGCGCACTACATCAATATCGCACACATACATATACACAAATCATCGATAAAACAGCAACGCCACGGAGTTCGGCCGTCACTTCAGCATCACCTTAAAGCTGAAATAATATTATATACCTATTAAATTTTCGATTTGACGATTATGCTAACAAGCATCTCAAAACACTTAGAGAAGTGAATTTTTGTTTTCAAAATAAGTCCCTTATTGTTTCATAGCGCATTATTAGAAGATACGGAATAAAACATTGACATATCATCTTGATGTTGCAGAATTAGCGAACGCCGGCAGACCGCTCTTTCCCGGATCGGATGTAGACGATCAATTGAAAAGAATATTCAAAATGTTGGGCACACCGACTGAGGAGACGTGGCCAGATTTAACGACACTTCCTGACTACAAACCATTCCCACAATATCATCCCACGCAAGGGCTAGCGCAGGTTACACCCAAGCTCACTTCAAGAGGAAAAGACTTACTCCAGGTAAATCATCGTTTATTTTAACTATTGAAATATTAAGATTGCGAAACATAAATGCAGTTATATTTAGCATTTCCGATATATAAAGAATATATTAACAATATGCACAACTGCCGTGATACATATATATATATATTAATAAATCTAATAATCTAATAATATAATAATCTAACAATTTAACAAAGAAGGGGATGCAAAATAAAAAAAATATAATGAGACTAGAATAAAAATGATTTAAAATAGCATGAAAGTATAAATATAGCAAAAGATGAAAAAAAATTTCAATATACATGTATATATACACACAAAAGAAATAGTTTTAATGTTATGATTTGAAACCTTGATTTAAAGAGACTGAAAGTACGTATAAAAATTTGAAATATAGAAAATCGTTTCTCTAAATTCATTTTTTGAAAATATAGAATATCGAAAAATTATAAATTGTAAAAAAACAATCTTCTAGGGTTATTAAGGGGTTATGCCACCCCTGGGGCCTCAACATGATAACGTTTAGAATTTTTTTGTGAATAAATAGATAATTTTATTTAGAAGCTGTTTAGAGGACATTGTTGTAAATATATAAGAAACTAAAAAAAAATATTTTATATTTTTTATGTACAAAATCGACGCACTAGCCTACTTGTGGAATCCCTTTTTTTTCAGATCAGTGTACAGGATTCCAGGCGCACGGTTTAATTTTGAACAAAACAAAAAGAATTTTCATTATATACATATTAAAGTAAAAATACTATAGAATTACGTAGAAATTTTTTAAAATATTGATTTTTCTCGAAATGGCAGCTATTTTTACAAAAAGTTCGTATTTTTGTCGATACAGGTCTTTCGTAAAATAGCTGCCATTTTGAAAAAAATCAATATTTTGAAAAATCCCTACGTACTTTTCTAGTTTTTAATATGTAGATAATGAAAATTCTTTATATTTTGTTCAAGATCAAACCATATGCCTGGAATTCTATACACTGATTGAAAAAAAGGGATTCTACAAGTGTAGGCCATTTTGGACATAAAAAAAATAAAAAAATATTTTTTTTTGTTATATATGTACAATAATGTCTTCTAAGCAGATTTTAAATAAATTTATTTATCCACAAAAAATCCCCAAACTTAAGATATATCATTTTAAAACCTCAGGGGTGACATGACTCTTTAATAAATTCTTTGTTTCAAGCCCTGGATCGTTTTCGATTATATGACGTTCTGATTTGTAGAGATTATTAGTGTGTAATCCGGCTCTACGGCTGTCGGCGGAGGAAGCGATGGCACATCCATACTTCAACGACTTGAACCCTGCCATAAAGAACGACCGATGCCAATAGCGAGCCATCCTTCTTAGCTTAAACCGACTGAAAGCATATTATGGCGCATACGATGCGCAGCGACCAAAAAGTGGAAAGGAAAACGCTCTGGCAATGATCGTTTGTTAATACATGCATACATACATAGATACACACACACACACATGCGCGTGTGTGCGTGCGTGCGTGTATGTATTGTGTATGTATACATCCATGTATATGTATATTAAGCGCTTGGACGAGATAATCGCCTCCCCCCCTCCCCTCCGCGACAAGAAGACACCGACGAGTCATTTTATAATAATAAGGAAGAATCGATAAATCATTAAGTTCACTTTGGCGGCAACTTCTTCGTATCGAAAGTAAAAAATTCCACGGTCAGCGGAAGGAAAAGAACGCGACACATTTCGTACACTGTCAAAGTCGCGAGTGATGAATATGAGAAGATTTTATGCGAGTGAGTAGGATATTATATAAGCGCGATTTATTTATTATTAAATTATTCTATCAATAAACTGATATCTTAAATAAGCCTTAATTATTAATCTTATATCCCGCCTTTTCCCCCCTATTGTATTCACTTTTCTACATCGCGTCGAAATGAAATCTGTGCGCTTCTTGGAGCCTCTCGATTTTGTCCTCTCTCCTCTCCTTCCAATACAAACCGAGAATCAAAGACGTTATTAAAACGCAGGTGCCGGATAAGGCGGCCGCGCTCAGTAAGATTAACTTGCTGGGCGTAACAAATAGTTGAGCCTTCCATCTCGATGGTTCGGCAATCGGATTTGGTATCACGACCATCTGCGAATTAGGAATAATCTGCGGCCATTCTCGCGACTTGCCGCCAACCTGAAAGAGAAAATATATATCTTTAAAATATTCTACGTCATTCGAAATTTTATTAAAATCGAGTTATACCATTTATCGTAATTAATGTTGGATTTAGTTAACTGTTACGTATGTTTATCATTATAAATTATAATCCTACTTATAAAACAAAAACTGAATATCTTTAATCTTATGTAATCCTAGCTGCATACTCTGGAATCTCTGAAACTTCAGTGAAATTTCGAAACTATTATTAATAAAATTTATTAATAAAATTAATAAATTAAACGGTCATGGTCGCTTTAGAAAAAAAGTTAGGAATTTTTTCAATAGTCTGCAATGTCAAGAACGTCAGTTATTGTTAGGCTATACTAATGATGTGACTGTTAAATTAATCTGGGGTTTTTCAAACCTTAATGTGATTATCCATAAATCTCTTTTTACAAATATAAGTAAATCTTATTCGTTTTATTTCGAGTTATAATAATAATAAATTTATACCTAAAACAATATCTGATTTTTTAATATTCTAACAGTGATTATTAAAGACGTATTTGAATTAAAACATTTAATCTTTTATATATTAATTATTTAATTCGTTTCATTAAATATAAAATAACCGCAATGTCGGCGCCAAATTCTTATTTTTATTCCTATTTTTATTTTGTATTTGTTTCAAGAATCTTTACTTGTCCGTTTAAAAATCCGATATATTTTTATAACTTTTCCTTAAATATATTACTCTCAAACAGTGAGTAACAATATACATAATAGATATTTTTTTTGTAGCGTTACCAGGTTTGCTAGATTTAAACTCAAAATCATTGAAACATAACATATATTATACGTTCATAATTGTTTATCGTTGTGGATATATAATGTATATATAGAATGAACATTCGTAGCTGCGATAGGAAAGATGCTATGTTCTCAAACCTAAACTTAATACTCCTACTGGAATATTAAGATCATTCAAGCAGTTTTGAAGATTTTGAAAAATTCATGTTTGAAAATAAATTAAAGGAAAGTGAGTGATTTGTAATTTCAATTTAGAGTTCTATTTTTCATGCGGAAGAAAATAATGATGAATGGAAGCTTCAAGCAAAAACTCATCGATCATTATTGTATACGAAATATACAGGAAATTTATACAGAATCATGTAAATAGGTTTTTTTTTATACTTTGTGCTATTCATACTTCGTCATAAATAAACGCATCATAAATCATTTTACGTTTGTATTTTTTTTAACATAAATCTTAATATTTATATCTGCCAAATCGCCCAAAAATATAAATATGAAAACTATCATTTTATGAGTCCGTAGTTTTGTTGATATTAATTGAAATTTTAAATGTCAAACTTTTGTTAGCATAAAATGTGTCTTTTTAAAATCGAAAAATGTTTTGTTTATTTCTATTAGCAAAAAGCTTTTTTTTCAAGCAACTACAGTAAAATAATGAGTTTTTCTTGAATTAAAAAGTAATTAATATTTTTAACGCATATTTTTCGGTACTTATTATTTTAGATTACTTTTGAGTGAATAAATGTATTTTTTAGTTTATTTACGATTGGTTGAAGAAAAAATTAATCACAACACGATATTTTTTCGATTTTTACTATGAAAAGACTGGTGGAGGTCTCCCAGACCTCTGCGTGGTAGCCATAAAAAGTGTATAGTCAGAGTTAATTCATACTACAGGATGGGTACTCAGATTTTGTAAAAGAATTCCCTGAAAATTCTCAGATTTTCCAGGAAGTTTATTCAAAATTCTAGATAAAATTAGAGAATTTCTCAATACAGCTTTAAAATAAATTAGGCACTGAGAGTTTTAATAACGTATAGAACTTTGATGCGTGAAACAATTTAATCTTTTCATATGTACAATAGTTACATCTCCATACAAAATTTTTCGAACGTAACAAAAGATTTTGTATGGAGATGTAACTACATATATGAAGATTAAATTGCTTCACACACCAAGTTCGTTATTAAACTCTTAATACCTGATTTATTATTTCTAGATTATCGTTTTCTAGATTAAAGAGTTTTCATATATTATATGTCAATTTTAAAATAAATCAACTTTCAATATCAGGGGCCTTCGATATGGGGCCACTTTCTAAAGGGATAAAATTAAATTTAAAAGTAAAATTCAAAAAATTTCCCTGAGCATTAGTAAAATTCCATTGGGAATTCATGATTTTCAAGGGTAAAAATAAAATTCCCTGAGAATTCCAGGTTTTCTCGGTTTTTCCCGGTAGTACCCATCCTGTATTAGTGTAATCAACAGTAATTTTGATTATTAGTACATAACTACACGAAGAGAATTTTTTTTTAAATTTAAAATCATGTTAATTGTGGAACAATATAGTATTTAGGCAAATTTTACTGTGCACTACAATAAATTTTACTGTAAAATCTTATTGTAGTGCACAGTAAAATTTGCCTAAATACTATATTGTCCCACAATTAACATGATTTGCAGGGCAAATTTAAAAAAAATTCTCTCCGTGTATAATAATAGTTTTAAAAGTCAAACGCTTCTACATTTTCATACGTACCCCTATCGTGAGAGCGTCCACAAAATTGGGCGTTCTTCCGAGACCGAAGGTGGTGTACGGCAAATTAAGCGAGAAATGTGCACTCTGGGGTAACTGCGCTGCGATCGCGTTGCGAGGACTACCATCCTGCGTGGTGGTTCTGTACGCGATCGACGGCCCCGGCAGATTGGTGCCGTAGGTTCTCTTCTTCTTACCGAGCGAACCCGGCGAGATGGGATACATGCTGTTGGTGCGTCCGGTGAGCACCATCACCTTGACGAAATTCGCGTCGTAGTCCAAGCTGTTCTTGAACGCCGCGGTGCGATAGATGCTGCTCGCCTTGTCGAACTCGACCAGGATCACGTCCAGGATGCCGTCCTGATAAAAGTCGTAAAACACCGCCATCGCGGTCTCGTTGTAGAACGGATTCAGTGCCTGCCATTTGACGTCGAAGGTGCGATTGAAGCCGGCGCAGTTGTTGTTGCACGCCACATTTTGCAGCAGAAACGACTGCGCCTGTTTTGTCGACTGCAGAGTCGCCAGCAAATCCGGATAGCCGTCCATGTTGAAGTCACCGCCGCGCAGGGTGATGGTCTCCGTGTAACGATGGCCGTTCGGCTTCACGAAGCCCCACAAGACGTTGTTGGGGTCGCGGAAGTTCACTCGCAAATTGTGCCAGCCATTCAGGTACATCATTATCGTGCAATTGCTGCAGGCCTCGTCGAAGCACAGCGGCAGGAGGAGGGCCATCTTGCCGGTCAGCTCGACGTCCAGATAGAGAGTCTGTCCGATTTCCCCCTTGAAGTGTTTGTCGATCGATATATTGTACGGAAGTTTGATCTCGTGGGAAAACTCGAATCCCTGTTCGGTGCCCAGCCATATCTCGAAGGACTTCGTCGTGGTCACCACGAGGTCTGACAAAAAATCGCTGTTCAAGTCCAGAAAGGCGTTGGAGTGCGGACTTCTCACGGGCTCGTGCGACACCGAACCGTCCTTGTCTCGCATCTCGACGGTACGCGGAGTGGTCCTGTTCTCATTGAACACCCAGAACACCCTCCTGTTATCCTTGTCGACCCCGAAAAGGTCGATTATCATATCCTGATTGTAGTCCAACGCCAACGGCTGGTCGTGCATCTCTATAAGGGGATTCCATTCGTCGCTGCAGTTCAGACGGCCGTTACCGCCCCACAGTATATGCACGTAAGTGAGCTCCTTGTCACGGTTGAACGTCGTCACCAGGATGTCCATGAAGACGTCGCCGTCGAAGTCACCCGGCACCACGCTGGTTACGTGATCCTTGAACGTGCAATTCAAGCCCAGCTTGGGCCGCAACAGGGGCTCCTGCTCAGCCGCTAGGAATATCTCCACCGTACGGCCGTCCTTGCGCAGCATGAACACGTCTGTCAGCTCGTCGGAATTGAAGTCGCCGAACGCCGCCGGCATGCCGTCCAGCTCGTTTCCGAACACGGCGGGTGTTATGTCGCTGCATCTCGTCACGGAGATAAGTGCAACGAGGTGGACAAATGTTCGAATCCACAGCATAATTCACATTCCAACAAATAATCTGCAATAATGTATCTTATGTAATTATACGTGTCTTAAAAGTACAAGAAAATTTAAAGGAAAATGAATCCCTTAATTTAAGAAACAAATATGTGGGAAAAGGAGCTGTTAGGAGTCGGCGCGGAAAGTAGTGCTCATTTATATGGTTTTTAAACCATAATATATATAATATTATGTTATAATTATATTATATATATATATATATATATATACATATAATAATATAATTTATATTATATAATTAATTGCATTACACTGAGGATGGCTCGAACGGAGTGTAAGATTTAATGTATTGTTGATTGAAATTATATTTTATATATATATATATATATATATATATATAATATATGTATATATATATATATGGTTTAAAATCATATATATACATATATACTGAAATTATATATATAACTATTT